GTAATTTCTTTAAAATATTTCCCCAAAACATCTTTTTTCCCTGTTCATAAACTCAGGATAAAGGAAGAGTCTATGGTTTTTCCAAAGTGAATGTCAATTTAATTTCCCATTACAGATAACTTGGTCTACTAAGTCACTCTTTAAAAAATGCCTTTATTCAAAGAACTGTGTTAACAAATTAATTAAAACCAAACAGTAACAGAAGGCTTTGAACTTGAAAAGCCATATTGAGAGGGTATGATAGCATCAGCATTGTAATTCATGTGACAAATAGGAAAGGAACTATAACTTTTTGCATTCATCATTTTAAAACAATAACTTTGTCTTATGTTTACACAATGACATGGTTTCAAGTGTATTCTTTCTTTGCAATATTAAGTTATTTGACTAAACATTTTCTAATGAGAAGTGTGATGGAACTCCAGAAATATGCTTAAATAACTAGTATTTGAAATATTTTCAATGAATTTGGTACTTCAGAAGTGTGAGATTATGATTACTTTTAGAATGATACTTTCAGTTAGTTGATAGCATCATCGATTTGTCAAAGAGCAGATCAAGCTTCCAATTCTGAGTATAAAATTAAGTAGGAAACCCAGTGCCACTAGAATATTTTCTTTGTTGGTACTTTTAGTTCCTTTCACCTGTTTATCAAAGCATTGTTGTTAAGCTTTAGCTTTAATAAGACAAGTCCCAATAAAATAAATGTTGCAATTTTAAACTGCCATTTTTCTTTTAAAGCTGTTTTTTCAATCTAGTCCCTGGTACATGTAAATATGTATGGAAAATATGAAAGACACAATCTCTGTCTTTGTAGAATTTAATGCTGTTCTCGATAAACTAAACTACCAGTGCCACATTTTGAAAAATGAAAATTGAGTCAAATATTCATCTTAATGAGTTGATTTTTAAACCTTAAGTGCCAAATGTAGTTTTAACTGTTCTTTATTTGTCCCTTTTACTGTTCATTATTTAAATAAATCAACCAGTAGCACTCATCATAGCCACAATTATGTGTGCGTAAATTGAAGAAATATTCATGCCTCTCTTTTCTACCTACTACAGATGTTACAGATATGCTGATTTGACATGATTAATCAAGGAAAGCTTCACAGATGAGGAGCACTCTCTTAGATACTAGATGACATTACAAATAATCCTTACCTCTTACTTTGTCTCCCTGAGCAATTACTTAATTTTAAATTAAAAATTCTAATCCAAAACCTGGAAAAATTATCATATTCTTTTCTAAAAGTATAAATTATCACATTTCTTATGTTACAGCTCAGCTGTAAGGTAATTATGTGCGACTCATAGTTTGAGGTGGAAATACATATATTGCTTGGAACCTAAAAATAATATCTTTTACAAAAAAAAGGAAACAACATCTTTTGTTTTACTTTATATTTTCACTAAAAATCTCCAAGTCCTCTACAAAAATTAATTTTCCAGAATAGAGTCCCCTCATTATCCTCAGGGGATTGGTTTCAGAACTCCCTGCAGGTACCAAAATCCATGGATGCTCAAGTCCCTTATATATGGTGTAGTATTTACATAGTTTACATCCTCTTGTATACTTTTTTTTTTTCTTGAGACAGAGTCTTGCTCTCTTGCCCAGACTAGAGTGCCGTGGCGTCAGCCTAGCTCACAGTAACCTCAAACTCCTGGGCTCAAGCGATCCTCCTGCCTCAGCCTCTGGGTAGCTGGGACTACAGGTGCACACCACCACACCTGGCTAATTTCTCTATTTATTGTAGAGACAGGGTCTCGTTCTTGCTCAGAGCAGGCTGGTCTTGAACTCCTGACCTCAAGCAATCCTCCCGGCTTGGCCTCCCAGAGTGCTAGGGTTACAGGCGTGAGCCACTGCGCCCAGCCCCTCCTGTACACTGTAAATCATCTCTAGATTACTTACAATACCTTATTGTCAATGCTATGTAAATAATTGTTATGCTGTATTGGTTTTTCATTTGTATTATTTTTTATTGTATTGTTATTTTTAATTTTTATTTTTTTAAATATGTCCGGGGTTAGTTGAATCCCTGGATGTGGAACCTGCAGATACAGAGGGCTGGCAGTACTTCAGTGATTCAGCTCTATGTTCTTCTCCTAGTAACTGAGGCAATTGAGATAGCAACTAAGCAGGATTTTCCTATTCTCCAAGTCACATGGGTTTGGGATCAAATTTGGCCATTCGAAAACCTGAACAAATTATTGTTTTAGATACCCAATTGTTCCATTGACCTGAGAGTTTACTGCTAAAACATCGATACTTTAAAATTTCATTTTAAGATTCTTTGCTGAAAATTCTTTTAAAATACATTACACAGTTCAGTACGTGCTTTTCAGTCTTCTTGGATGCAGTACGCTGAATCTTATTTACCTTTGTCTGTGCCTCAGATCCGTAAGTATCAACCTTATTTATTAGTGTTCCGATACAGCAGTATCATTATGGGGTGAGGAGCTATTTATCCCTATACTAAATAATGTCTTTCAGCCTACTTTTTAGTTTTTCTGCCTCTTCTCTTGCAGTCATTTTCCTTATTCTCAGTGTGTCTGCTGATAGCTTCTTCTCTTTTTTTAGTTGAATCTACTGAGGGAAACCAACCAACTAGGCTTTTTTCAAGTGAAGTATAAATAGATTCCAAGTGGTGGTCTGTGGAATTCTCCAGTGAGTGTTCAGGATACTAGTGTGTGCACTTTGTCATATCCATACTGGCTCTTAGGGATTATTTTCCTTACCTCTTGGTTTGGGGCAAGGTTCCAAATGGGTGAGGTGTTATCGTACAAAGGTTAGCTTCAGAATTGAGAGAAAGTTGAAACTAATTAAATTGTCCATATTCTTTTAGTTTCGTGGCTCTTTTGTTCACAGAAAAGTCACATCTTTCACTTTAGTAAAATCAAGATTCTTAACCTAAGCAGTATTTTTCTGTTGTAGCCTTAAGCCATACTTCTAATATAACAAACAGCAAGCATGTGATAATTCACTTCCTTTTAAAAAAGGATTACAGCTAAAATAATGAATGATTAATAGAGCAATCTGTCATGCTTCCAAAATAGGTATTACGCAAAAAGTAAGATTCCATTACTCCATCCATTCTCTCTGTGACTTGGTCCCTGCAAACTGTATATCGTAACATTGCCTAAACCTCAACACTCTTCAGTGTTAGTCTTTTCTTAAGTTTTAATAAGAGCATTTGTTCAACATTTATTATACTACAATGGAGTGTAAAGATGAGTCATATGTTATCAGGAACAGAAATAAAACATGCTCTGCAACTTCCAATGGAGAAGACATAGCCCTTTAAAAGTAACATATGGTGGACATTTCATTTAAGGAACAATTAAGCCTTTAATTGATCATTATTTCAGTTTATCTATGTAGGCAAATATAAAAATACCCCATATTTGTTTGTTTAAAAAACTAATTTTTTTTTTAAGACAAAGTTTGTTCTGTCACCCTGGGTAGAGTGCAGTGGCATCATCATAGCTCACTGCAACCTCAAACTCCTGGGCTCAGGCGATCCTCCTGCCTTAACCTCTGAAGTAGCTGGGACTACAGGCGGGTACCACCACACCCAGTTAATTTTTATATCTTTAGTGGAGACGGGGTCTTGCTTTTGCTCAGGCTGCTCTCAAACTTCTCAGCTCAAACAATTCTCCCTCCTCGGCCTCCCACAATGCTAGGATTACAGGCATGAGCCACCGTGCCTGGCTAAAAAAAAAAAAAATTTTAAAAATCTCCTGGAACTAGTCTTCTCTAAGCTTTATATGTACTGGCAATAACTTTCTGGAGATTTATAGTTGAAGCACACACTGCCACCAGTAAGGACACAAGTCAGATCAATTGTCAGGCTCAGGAACCAAGATCCTCCTGCCAGTAACTGTTTAGTCACTGGTTTCCTCTTGGCCTTCCCCTGGGAGGACTTTTGCAATTTTTTTTCCACTGATAAGTTTTTATTGGACAGTAGGTCAGAATGTTGGCCTCTTATGATACAATTGAGAGAGAAAACATTCAATCCCTTGGGAAGTATCTACTGGAAGATTTTTTTAATGCTTCTTTAAAAACAAAGCTATACCTTTCTAAGATTAAAAATAATATATTTTTCCTAATGTACTGAAACAAACCAAGCTTAGACTGGCAAATGAATGAGTATAAATCTGAGTAAAGCATTTCAACTGGATTTAGGCATAGATATGAATGTTTAATATGCTGTGCAGACTCTCTTTGAATTGCTATGTTAGTTGCAGGTGCAATTTATTATAACTCTCGAAAATAACCCGAAACCACAACTCAATTGTTTTCTTTTAAAATGCAAAAGCCAATCTTCTTGAAATAGCTGAATCTCTTGAAACTCATTTCCATTTAAATTTGTTCAATAATAGTCATTTCTAAGTTGCTATCATTCTAATCTAGAGGGACATCTTCAAGTTGATTTGTGGTTGTGTGATCAGCAGAGCAAGTTTCCATATATTTCTCCATTGTTAAGTGACTTACAAACTTTGAACATGTGAATATAGGCAATTCTTAGTCTCTCTACTTTCTCACCTTTAATACCCTTTGGTTTCTATATCTCTTTCTATCCTTTCCTGACGACTGATTGACTGTGGCTGCTATTGAAGGAAAAGTCATGAATTATGGCCTGATAAGGATCATTTGACTTTCCTTTTTTTCAAAGCTGACTTGTCCCCTGTTACAATCAACCTGTTCCCATAACTGTACCATCAGTCACAACAACCAATTTTTCTTCAGCCCTGGAAAAGCAATGCCATCGATGGTGTTGACATCTGGCACATTCATTTAATTCCATATTATAGTATAAAAGTTGAATTGTAGAGCAGGACTGTCTGTCTGCTCAGTGAGCATTTGGGGTTTTTCCCTTGCCCAGGCTTAGGCCCTGCTTTAAGGCTAAAATGAAGGATCTCAAGGATCTCAAGGTAACAAATTCTTACTTGGCTGATTTTTACCACAAAGTATCTGTATCTTCTTTTTGATTTTCTAGGAACCAAAGAAGTTGTTGTAAATGTGGATGATGATGGAGTCATTTCATTGAATTTCGAATGTGATCAGATGTCTCCAAAGTCCGAGTTCATCTGGTCCAAAGATTATGTGTCCACGGAGGACTCTCCTCGACTAGAAGTTGAAAGCAAAGGCAACAAGTAAGGACTATTTCAATCATAATAATGAATTTCCTTTTCAATATAGGAGAACGAGGTGAGCTCTTTCATTCCCACTTAAATTACTTGGAATAAGAGGATGAAGTCACAAATATTTTATATCTGGTATTGTAAAAAATCATAACCAATTTAAACCTTAAAAATAATAATCCTTATAAAGTACTTTTCCCATTATTCCATTTAAAGTGCTTTCTCACATATTATCTCATTTATGATGTTAGAAAAGCTTAAATGACATTAAAGTCAGCTTTAAAGATGATTCTCATTATCTATGAAATCTTGAAATCTTAACATAGGGATGAGGAAGTTTATGGGGGACTAGGAAGAACTTGCTACCTGCTGATGCAAGTTATGGTAAATTAAAAGGACTAAGTATAATCCCTTCTGCTTTTTTCACTGTCACTTATGAGTGATACAATAGTACACTGAAAGGAAATCTATATGGGAAGCATAGGCTAGATAAGTTCTAGGCCGGGCTCTACCAGGAGCTGGCTGTATGACCTTTGGCACCTATTTAACTTCCATGGACCTCAGATTTCTTTTTCTGCAAAATTCAAGAGGGGAAGATTTTATAATCTATCGCTTCCTTTCAGCTCCAAAATTTTGGCTTTTCTTTTTACTTTACTTTATAGCAAAAGCTTATCGAGCTTTATATTTTCATAGTGTCAACCATTTTGGATTATATTTGATAAAACAAAGCATTTCTAAGTATTTTTTCCTATTACGATGAAGCCCAATATATCTCAGAAATAAAAGAAATAGCAATTTTGTTGGAAAATGGCAAGGAAATACTGAATATAATTAAAAGACATTTTTATGTCACTATGCTGTAAAGTTCTTGAAGTAAAACATATTTGGCCCAAGAAAAGATAATCAAACTATAAATTTTTCTTCCAGATTGTGCACTTAACGCTTAAATGTTTGGTTGCTCTTAGAAACTGACTAGCAATATAACTTGCCAAAGTTAGAAAACACCATGAACTAAACCACTGAGCCATTCATTTATTTATTCTACATGTTATATGCCAGACAAGGTGCTGGTGCTGGAAGTACAACAGTAAACAAAGCAGATCCTGCCTGTGAAGGCACAGGGATTATACAGTGGGGAAAATACAGATGCTGTATAAATTCACAAAAGGGAAGCGCCGAGATGACATAGGGGAGGCAAGGGCTGATCAGCTAAATATCCTTATGCAGGATGTGTACTTATATGCAAATAGTCTGAAATTGGGGATATGTACCACCTCCAGTCTTGTATCACCATCACCCCCTGGAAGGGAGTCGGGAAAGTCTTCCAGAGGAAATGACACTTAACCTGAGACACCAAGAATGGGTAGGCTTTAGCTAAGGAAGAACAGAGGAAGTATTCCAAATGAATGGAGTAGCATATACAAATGCCCGGAGACAGGGTGAAACACAGGTCCACAGATCCCACACAGCCTCATTTCTAAGAACAATATCTCGTTCTGAAGGACGAAAATAACGTTCAAAGACCTCGGGATGGATGACGTGGGCATTTACTCTTGCGATGTAACAGACACTGATGGAATAGCATCGAGCTACTTAATAGACGAGGAAGGTAAGTTTCGAATCGGTTCATTCACAAGTCTAATGTTGCTTTAATTTCTCAACTATTTTTCATTATTAACTGACTTTTGTTTTAGTAGTTCAAGGTTTGTTTTCTTTTTGTCCCTACAGAATTGAAACGTTTACTTGCTCTCAGCCAAGAACACAAGTTCCCAGGTAAGTGTCCACAATACATTCGGAGATTTTAGCAATCTTACTAGGAGGCAGCTTCTGGAATAGATCAGATGACAGCTCTGACAAGATTAAAAGAAGAGGCTCTTGATAACATATAATGAAACGCACATCATTAGCTACAGATGTACTTTCTAGAAGTAATGTTCTTTCCTTTGCCATTGTTCTCCAGAGATACCAAGGATATTAACGTAGAAAATATATCCCACATGCCATTACATAAGGAAGTGTCAGGCTACATAGGTGTAACATCTAGGTAATTAAGTTCTCCACTTTTTACCTACATGTTTTGGAATCACATATCTATCTTCTGGATATATTCTTTAGGCAAACTAAATTCTTCCTAGTGAGGTTGGCACCTAATAGAAGAATCATTATAATTCTGTAAATAAAGACAATCTGAAGACAATACCTACCAATTTTAAACTCCTGGAAAATAGGGTAAAGTTGCCTTGGTCAGAAAAAGAATCCCTCTGAACTGTCTACAAACCCTTCAGTAAAGCACCCTCTACATAAAAGATTAAATCGCACAGTTGACACCGAAGAGAAGAGAAAGAAGTCTGAAATGTCACTCTGGTGGTTCCACTGGCCTGATAGAATCTCTTGCTGTCAGTACTCATTGGCCAAAGTCGTGAAACATCCAGAAAATTACACCCCAGAGTTTGAGAGAAACAGACAGAAAGTGATAGCATGCACTTGTTTTTTTAAAATAAGGTATTTTAAATAATTTTAATATTTATTGTACAACTCCTTTACTAATACAGAAGTTTCAAGAATCCAGAAAATTATATCCCAAACTGTGGGTAAAACTTCGTATATTTGTATATGTGCATTTTTCTGGGAAGAGGATTCTCAGCTTTCACTAAATTCTCAATGTAGGCTGTGATTAAAACAAACACACACTGCTCTAGAACCCATGGCCTATCTTCTCTTACATCTGCAAGGAACGACTTGTTTGATGACCGAGTGCTGGTGACTGTTGGCCTCAGGTGTAATGTTCTCGAAGCCGACTTTGTTCGGCAAAGCAACAGAGTGGAGTGTGCCTGGGGTGCTAAGATGCAGATTTCTAAATTCTAAGGGAGAGCCTGCCATATGGCATTCGGCAAGCTTATTCACCATAAAACTGGGAAAGTAATATCATGAATGAGGTTTTAAAGTTAATTCTGGAAAATTGTACGGAAGGTAGAGGTTTGGCCTGGACTCTCTTCGTTCTGTAGTTTCGACTCACTCTGTGAACCTGAGCAGCTTACTTCCATTCCCTGTGCCTTGGTTTCTCTTCCAGGAGTGGCTGTCATAATAGTTTATAGCACCTATCATATAGAGATGCTGTAAGAGACAATAAATATGGTATTAGTTGATCTGTGAACATAAAAACATAACATGGATTGAAACAGAACAGTGATTCTAGAACCCACTGCTCAGAGCAGAAGTGTCTCCAAGTCACATAGGATGGTCACACTGTGCACTCTCAAACATTGGTAGACATGGGGAGAAACAGCAGCATCTACTAATCTCAGCCAGACAATAAACATTGATTAAGTGTCTAGGCAACAACTGGTCCAAATAACATTTATATTTAGCTTAAAGGATGGAAAGAAAGGGTGAGATGTCACTGTTGGGCTCCAGCCACCTAGACCTCCCTGGAGTTCAATGATCATATGGACTTGGAGATAGAATTAATTAAGGCGATGGACATTGCTTGATATCACTATCATTTATTCTGAGATATTTTATTTAGCATAAGCCTAAGGACTCTGATTATTGGTGCTAGGAGAGAAGGTAGCAGCAAACTCACGTATCCTTTTATTAGAGACCCACAGTAGCGTTTTGGTAGGCACAGAGGGAGAGCCCAAGGATGTGTTTAAAACAACTCTGACATTCAAGTAAAAACAACTCTGACATTCAAGTATCGAATCTCCCGGCCCAAGGGAGTTTTTGTTAGCCCATCAGAGCAGCATTTTAAACATTACAGCTCCAGTACTTCTCTTTCCCCTACCACTAGCAGACGAGTGAGGTCATTACATTAATATTTTCAGAGATCTTGTTAGGTAGGGATGAGAGTATGCAGGTGGCATTAGATAGAAATAAGGATGTGCAGGTGGCAGGGTAGACAGTTAGACATACAGGTAGCAGGGCAGGCAATAGGGGGATGTGGTCAAGGGCCAAAGGTCAGGACCAATAAACAGAGAAAAAGGAAACCACAACAACAAAAACTTAAAGTTAGGAACTTTTCCCAACTGGAAGCACATGCCAAAGCTAGGAGCTTATGACCAAAGCTAACCTTTCTCTCATTAACATAGTATTAATAAAACTCACACCCTCTAACACCATGACAGTTCTGGAACCAGCCATACAAGGACAGAAAATGGGAAAATACGTGATTCTGGTAATCTCCTCCCACTGCCCCCAAAAAACGTAAGTATTCCACCTCCAGCTTAACATATTATCAGAGATTAACATAAAAGACAAACCCTAACCCTGAAACAAGAAACCAAAAAACCAGGACAACACCTCTGAAAAACCAGATCTGACAATCTGATGACTGGGTCAAAGCAGCGTATCTAATTTTGTAATTCATACTCACTTCCTCTTAGTAAATGTTGGCATGTTAGTAAAGTCATTTTATTGAGCTTTTTGTAAGATTTTAAATGGCCTCATTTCTAACAGAATGTAATAAAGAGTATGGTATTCCTTTATCCTTTGGCACAGTAAATTCTCCTATGTTAAGCTATTTTCAAAAATATTTTGAAAACCACTAAATATATGCCTTAAGCCTACAAATAACATATTTTGCTGGAGCAAATTAACTGCCAGAGAAAAGAGCCTAAGGAAATTTAGAGCTGAGAAAAAGAAAAAAGAAAAATGCATACAGCTAAAAATAGAAAATAACTTAGTCTGTCTTGCCAGTATTGACACTAAATTGCATTGCGGAAAGGCAGCTTATTTGAATATATATTGGTACATCAAGAATTCGAGGTATTTTTGTGAGGAGGGGGAGGGTATACTTTGGAATTGTCAACATCTTGCATATTAGCTCTTCCTTTGTACACGTTTGTTATTATCCCACTTGTACACATACACTGTATGTGTGCAGATATACTCAAGGGCATATACAGAAATATAGATATGTTGGTATGTTCTCTTAGTTGTCAATATATTATATTCTAAAATTGGTGGTTGTAGAGTATTGTTGAAGCAACTGGAGGAGGAAAGAGATACCAAAATATTAATAGCCAACATCAATAGAGCAATTATAATAAGCCAGGCTCTTTATAGGGTATTTAAACAGAATCTATCATTTAAACTCCACAGTGACCTTAAAAAGGTCGTGCACATATAAGAATAACATCTATTGGATGTTGGG